TGATAGTTTATCAATAGTTCGTCATCATACTATTTTTTCTTTCTTTGAATAAACACTGAGAATGTCCACAAAATTTGTCGAAGTTATGAAAATTCGTAAACTTATTTGTGACTTAAAATATAATATAAGGTAAATTATTCTAAAAGAAACGTTAAAATTTCAAAAACACATTATCGTATATTTTTCTTATAGATATTTTAATTAAAAAATTTTATGAAATTTGATAAATGAACAAAAAAAAAATCGTTTTACATGGATTATATACATATATTGGTAATAGTTATTAACAGCTGGTAAAATATTACTGGAAATAATATGTTTTATTTTAATAATAATATTATTTAATATTTAATATAAATATTTTTATTTTTTTTTTTGTAAAACACGTTTCAACCAATCGAATAACTAATAGCAATTTAAATATTTAAGACATTTTGGATGTCGATGAAAAAACAGTGACTTCTTGAATTATATGCAACATAAAAAATTTTCATTTGTCAAAATTAACCTCGTTTTGTTTGGTTTAGTATTAGAGACGAGTGTTAACGAACAACAACTAATTTTAAACTTTGGAATATTGTCTATGTTTTTTATGTTAGGTTTTTTTTTTTACAATATTAAAATTTTAAAACAAGATGATGTAAGCATTTTAAAATTGTAAAATTCTAAATAACTTATATAAATATTTAAAACTTGTAAAAAAAATCCAATACCATAAAAATATAGTCAATACAGATAACATTATTTTTAACTTTAATTAATTGAATTAGTTTATTGAATTTTATAAAACTTCACGATAAATGATTTCCTTCTATTATTAATTATTTCTATATGGCATTACAATAATAGAATTGAAATTTCAAACACCAACTAGTAATTACATAAGTTATATAAAACATGATCACTGTGTTTGTAAGTTCGAGAACTCAACTTATAATTTTTTTTTATCAACTTTAGTATTACCTACTATAAAATACGTCATACAAAACAAGGAGCTTATCTACATAAAATGTTTATGTTTTCGAATCTTTGATATTTAATGTGTAGTATTTAAATTAAATAGAAATAATATGAATAAAAAATTTAAAAAAAAAGAAAATCTCTTAGGTTTATATTGATATTTTGATCTCTATTTTAAATAATATCATAACTACTAACAGTAAACTATGCATAATATTATAACTCACTTTAAAATTAAAATGTCAATAAACTACCACTTTTTATCGTTATTATTTTTTTAACTATTTGCTTTTTTTATTCTTAATTTTAAAGCAAAATGTTTTTTTTTTTTTGTATTTTGATATAATTTATGACCCAAATTTTGGCTGATTAGTTTATGAGATAAATGTGAGATGTAAGTTACGTACTACGTATTTAAATCGGATTGGTTCAGAGGAACCCAGATAAATGATGAATCACTCTACTCGACTTAATTTTAAATACTTACTATAACTAATAACAAATATATAAAACAAAATTTGATTTTAATAAATCAAAATATTCCAAATAAATTTTTACTTAAGAATATGAAATTAAAATTATATTTTATACTTTAATAGAGTAAAAACTTAAGTATAATTATAATGATAAAAAATATGTTATCTAAAAATGCTGTTTTTAACGACCTAAAATTATTTAAAAGAAATTTCAAGAATGTAAATGTCACTTAAATTAAATAAATCACTCCGTATAGACAGTATGGGTACTTAAATAATATCACAATACTATCTGATTTATTACAAGTTGGTATTAATTATATAATTATCCTAAACTCTATAGGTAAATAAACAAATTGCATTCAAGTAAAAGAGACTAGTACACTACTAATAATTACATAGTGAAGTGATGTAGGCGGTTAGTATGTCTCTCTGGGTTATGCGTTCGCTATTTTTTTCGTTAACCAGATCATATTGACATGTTGCATGTACACAACAGAATGTTATTATTAAAATAATGTACTATTAATGTCCTCATTACAGATGGTACCTAATAACCGCACGGTACCACAATGAGCTCAATCGTAAACGGGTGCAAAACACTGCAACACTTTACAAACAACTATCCACTATAATAATTTTATAACATAATAATATTGCTCGAGTAATAATAATGCGTATTGCGTGTTATTACAACACGCATTCGCATCGTTGTAAATACGTCTTGTTATATTATAACATTTTGTAAGACGCGCGCGAGCAAACTCAAAGGCCACAACCGCTGCCGAGGAGGCCATCTCCAACCCCTTTTTCCGCCACGTCACCCCACAGACGTCCGCACACACGCACGCGCATGCATTCGCATACTTACACACACTAACACACATACATATATATATATATATAGTCGTTGTCGGGCGCGAAAGCTTTAAATTAGCGACTGAGTAAACCGTGGCAGTAAATCATATCGTATAATATCGCATCGTACGCGCCGGGGCCACGGGTGAGGAGAAATATAAGCGGTGAGACGAGGGGGGACAGGGACTGGGGCTTTGCTGGTTAGATAAATGGCAAGTTAATTCTTAGCCAACTTGCCGCCACTCCACCGCGCACGCCGGCGAGGAAGCCGTGACATAAACAATCATTTTTGATAGCACCACCAAAGCGGTGGCGGCCGCCAAGGAGTTCGCCTATAAATAAAGCCCAGGGTGGTTTTAAGCCCGCCGCGCGCGACTACGCGGCCCGCACACGACCAAGTTTCCGTAGGTAAGTCACCTTTATTTATGTCTTATTGCGGATTATCGAAGGCCATGCCGCTCTGGACGCGGTTCCATAACGGCGCCACCGAGGTGGTGCCCGCGGTGGTTATATTTTTTTCCCTTCACCTCGCGCCAAACGGCGAAAAGTTAATTACTATACTTTGGGAGACGGAAATTAAAGCCATCACGTACTCGACCGAATATAATAATATATATAATAGGTTAGGTTTTCGCCTTTCCCACCACCCCCACCCATTGCGACATGAACGACGTGCGGGCGTCAAATTTTCAGTTGCTGCTAGTTTTCGCACAACACGTAAATGCACCGAAGAATATAATCAACGATAAATCGTTATCATCCCAAAGCTCCTGTTCCTGATTGGCCCGGGTATTACGTCTTAGAACGATATATTTTATATAAATAATATGTATTATAGACATAATAAGTACACTCGACTATAGTCTTTCTAATATCGAATAACGAGATTGTTGTCGCTGGTTTTTAATGGACTGTATAATTTTTAATATATAATT